CACATTTGAGAACCGCTAACAAGATTCTTCTTGATGGAGGGGACATCTTTGCACATTCTTTAATAGCACCGTCTTTCCCGAACTAAACTTCGTAACGACTGTACCAAAGACCAAGAACACGCAAGATGCGAACCGTTTTCCATAAGCAAGGCTCCAGTCTCCTATCGGCCTAATAGGAAGTAAACAAAAAAAACATCAGTACACACATGAATATTAGCACCGCTGTCCATCCACCACTCAGGTGAAAGACAAACTGAAAGAACAAAAGATAAAGAATTACCATACTCAGATGTTCCTCCTCCAGTCTCGCTAATCACCATGTTTGCTGATTTTTTTCTTGCTTATATTTGCGGTCTGGGCACGCACTTGCCCAATGCTCATTACTCCCGTAAACAAAGCAACCTCCACCTTTCTTATTATTTTTCTTCTTAAACTGAGCAGTCTGCTTAGGCATTTTATTGTTGTTCTCTTGCATGTTCTTCTTCTTTTTATTACGGGATGCAAATGAGTTTTTCTTCTGTACCATATTGGCAGCGAAAGACTCAACTCCTTTTCCACGGTTGTCTTTTGCTCTTGCCCTCTCCTCAACATCAAGAGATCCAATAAGTTCAGCCACGCTAAACTCTTGTCTCTTGTATTTTAGAGAAGTAGCAAAATCCCTTCAAGAAGGTGGCAGCTTAGCGATTATACCGTCAGACACAAACTTGTCGAGCAACAGGCATGAAAAATGTTCTAGTTTCTTTGCTAGCGCCTGTATCTCATGAGCCTGTTCCACTACAGAATGGTTTTCAACCATTTTATAGTCATATAACTGCTCCATAAGGTACAACTCACTGCCAGCATCAGAAACTCCAAACTTTGCCTCAAGAGCATCCCATAACTCTTTGCCTAATGTGCAAGATATGTAGTTTTTCTTATACTTAGGATGAAGTGAATCGATCACGACGCCTCAAAACATGTTATCGGGTGACCAAGAACTTTTGCTCCTCCTCGGGAGTAAACTGTTTGAGCTTCCCCTATCTTGGCGTGATAGCAGTTCATCATGATCCAACCATAATACCATCTTGGCACGCCATATCATAAAATTCTTGCCATTAAAATTATTTGGTTTCAAAGCAGCAGCAAAACCACTGACAGAAAATTGCCTAACATTAAGTTTTTGGATTGTTAGAATTTTAGGCATTTTCATGGTTAATTTAATCTAAAAATATAACATCAGCAGGTTCATGACGGCATATATGTGTATGTGTATATCTCTAATGAACGCTACATCATGCAGACATGACATACAGATCGATACAGTAAGAACATAAAGTGTGGTAATTACAGAGATAAGAATGTACCCAGCGGAGGGTCTTATGCCGAGGGCATCGGAGGCTCTAATCGCACTCGTCGATATAGTGCGTTGCTCGAAGTCATGGACCGCAGTCGATGCAGGAAGATATTCGCAGTGCAGTCTCACGAACGGTCACCAGGAAGAAGACGCCTTACGGTTCTGCAAGCAATCACCTGAAAGAAGACGGGTTCCAAGAGCGATCACCACCAGCAAGAAGACGCACATGGACGAGCAGTTGCAGATCGCTCCTCAAAAACCTAATCGCCGCCCACCTCGTGCAAGGTTCTCAGGCGGACGAGGGTTCCGGAGGCACCTGCTCTCCCGCTACTCCGTGCGCGCAGAGGTACGGGACGGGGAAGCCAGAGGGCTGCTGAGATGTGGTTTCTCTCGGGAGTGGTTGCGGAAGGAAGAAGGTTCTCAGGCGGACGAGGATTCCGGAGGCACCTGCTCTCCCGCTACTCCGTGCGCGCAGAGGTACGGAACGAGGAAGCTAGAGGGCTGCTGAGATGTGGTTTCTCTCGGGAGCGGTTGTAGAAGAAAGAAGGATTGATGGAGGACGTTCTGTTTTATGCCTACGATGGAGAGAAAGAGAGCTAGCGGAGGAATCCAGGAGACGGAGACACGAAGAGAGCTAGCGGAGGAATCCAGGAGATGGAGACACGAAGAGACGGGGAACCGAAAACGGCGCAATCACCTCACCTCCACCATAAAGGAGAGAAAACTCCCGTAATTATGTGGATTAAGTGATAAAAGACTGGCCATGCCCGCCCGCCCATCACGCCCGGCCAAATGACCCGGCGGCGGGCGGGGCGGCATGCAAGGTGGTGTGCACGCACGATATGTCCTTTTCTCAGCTTCTTAATTAAGATGAAAAATTTCCAACCATATAAGGCCAGTCAACGTTCAGTCAAAATCTCGTATGGTATTAAACCATACAACGATTAATGTTACGTACTATAGAGTTTTATTTGATTTATTAAATATTATACAGGCCAAGCCCATAATATATCCAACATTAGTACCTTAGTTTTGATCAGTTATAGATAAAAAAATATCCATATTTATGATACCAAATAAATATTATTAGATTAATTACAAAATATATTTTTATAATAAATTAATTTAAAGCTATAACTATGAATGTTATTCACTGACAACTTGATCAAACATGAACTATTTTTTTTGCACGTAACTCATAAGACAATACTACTCTGCAACTTTTGAAAACAATATTTTTTATACAGATGAGCCCTCGAGAGAACAAATTTCTGACACGACCGTTTTGCCTCTGTACTACTCCTAGGTTTGGACTTTGGTCTAAATTAAATTATCTTAAATTTAAAAATGTATAAAAAGTAATAAATCTTTATAAAAGCGTTGTTCAGTATGTTGAATATTTGTAATTTATATATATTTTTTGTTAAGATTACAATAATTTGATTTAGTAAATTCTTTGTTAGACAGAGGTAGGACCACAGGAGTATGTAGGAACCTGCAAGTTTGACCACAGCGTGCAATTTGTGGAAAATGATTTAAGACAGTTACTGTGCAAGATTGTCTTCCGAAAGAGAGATGAAAATGGCAGGAAATTTTGCAAAAGGAACGTCGCTGAAATCTCGTTGTGTACCACTACCAGCAAGGAGTCGTTGGATTCTCGTACTGGATTCGATAAATCAGCTAGAGTTTAATTAGCTAGTACGGAGTAGGTGCATCTCAATTCTCAGCAACGTACGCGTGGTGTTTAATGGCGGTAAACAAGACGGTACAGCAGGCAGAATAAAAATGGGCCAGGACGTCACACGTCAGGTTAGGCAGGCACAGGCGGGGCCACCGGCAGTCTCTGCGGAGAAAATGGTTTCCATTAATTGCCCCCATTGATCCCGCCTGCAGGCAGTGTTTGTACTCACCCTCTGTGATCTTTTCACAATCAAATCACTCCACGGACGGTCTGTGATACGGTTTGGGAAAAATTCACCCTGCCTGATTTTCATCTCCTTTCAAAAAGAAAAGGAAGATCTTTCTTCTAAAATTCCTGTAACATCAAATACTTGACATGAAGTATTAAATATAGATTAATTAAAAAACTAATTGCACAACTTACGACTAATTTGTGAGCCGAATCTTTTAAGCCTAATTAGTTCATGATTTGACAACATGGTGCTACAGTAAACATATGCTAATGATAGATTAATTAGGCTTAAAAAATCCGTATCGAAAATTAGCATCCATCTATATAATTGGTTTTGTAATTAATTTATATTTAATGCTCCTTATTAGTCTCTAAACATTTGATGTGACATAAAAACCCCGAAGACGACGCAATGTGAAGCGAAGATCGAGCAGGTAACAGCAGCAGCAGCAACTTTTGCGGTTGCAGTGGTGTCGTGCACACGCAATGTGGCATGTGAACATTCCGGAAATAGGAAGCCAAGGTCAATCATGGGCGCCAGTGGCCATCGAGTTGGTGACACGCACGGCCGTGTGGCACTAGGAGGGGCTTAGGGCGGTAGGGCTGGGTGTGCACACCGTCCTTCCGCGTAAACTAGTGCCGTTCCAATGCAAAAAGCTTTGTGCGCAGATGATGGAGTGGGGGTAGAGCAGCCCATGCCCTTTCTTCTACCACTTTGTTCTCCTCCATAGTCTGATCTCCCGGCAATTTTGCACTTTCTTCTGCCACTTTGTTCTCTTCCATAGTCCGATCTCCGCCAATTTCGGGGACACCCAATTTGCTACTCTCTATTCCAAATTACAGGATAGTTTTGACTTTTTTAATATATTATTTTTACTATACTTTTAGACATAATATATATCTAGTTATTGTATGCTTCAAAGGAAGTTGATTGGTCTACACTGACCACCCTGACTCCTCAAAAATCAAAATGTTTGAATTTTCTTACCAAAACATTATATATGTAGTGATTTATATAGTTTTATAACTACACTACCATTATACATATGTCAAATATTTATGTTAAGTACCTTTTTTTTAATCTAAATTAACAACTTATATAAATTATATTTCATGGATATGAATATAATTTTATATAATATGTTAGTATTATTGGTATATGAGTCGTTAAGGAAATATTTTGTGTATGAGTCGGGAATGTCTTCTTGATTTGTGAAACATAACACTTATTTATCGCTCATGCCTGCATCTAGCAAAGCCTTGATCTTTCGAATCACACATGATCCAGATACGCTGCAGAGGCAGATCTACACAGTCAGGTCGATCAGCAGGTCAGCGAGACAAATTTGACACCCTTATTCTTATCACATTTGATTTTGCAGTCAATTCTTTTTACTCTGATTATATTCGCTATAAGTTTTTTAACTGTAGTGAATGAAAGCTACGCTCCAACTTATTAGTCGGCTTATCAGTTAGAATCTATAGTATTTTTTTTTTCACAATAAAACAGCTTCAACCGATTTATTAGCCGACTTTAATACCAGGCGAACAAGCCAATATTAAAAACAAGAGTAATATAGGTAGACCCACCGGGGTTGAAAAACTAGTGTTTGGCTGGACTAATTTTTTTACTGTTTAGATTAGAAAACACTCTGTATATGCTGAAATATTTTAAAAGAAAAATACTTATCCGACTGAGAAAAAAAAAAGAAAAGCTGACCAGCCAGCCGAACACTGCCGAAGCAAACCCACGGCATGGCCGCCATAATTACTGTACGGGTCCCTCCTCCTCCCGTGGCAGGAGCAGGGGCAGACGCGGCGGGGGCCCCGGCATTACTCCCCCGCCATAAATCCTCCTCCGCCGCACAAGGCACAGCAGAAGAGGCCTCCCCGCTCCGCTCCGCGTCCCCCAGCTGCGCCAGAGGTAACCCCACCCAACCCCTCTGAGCTGTGACACAGCTGTTCTCCTCTCCCCACTCCAGGCGCGCTCACTCCCCTTCCCTTCCCTCCACAGGAATCCGCCGCCGCAATCCCCTCCGCTCCGCATTGCAGGATTGCGTCGAGCACCCTCCTCGTCGAAACCTTTTCTTTGCTCTTGTTCGGTGGTGGTATGGTGGGATGATGACCAGGGCGGCGGTGCTGTTGTCTCTCCTCTGCTGCCTCGCCGCCGCCGGCCGCGGCGAGGCGGTGTCCGTGGTGGGCGAGGGCGAGGCGGCGGCGGCGGAGCTGGCGGTGTCGGTGGACCCGTCGTGGCGGTTCCCCAACCAGCGGCTGCTGGACGCGTACGTCGCGCTGCAGACGTGGAAGCAGCAGGCCATCTTCTCCGACCCCAGGGGCTTCACCGCCGACTGGGTGGGCCCGGGGGTCTGCAACTACACCGGGGTCTTCTGCGCGCCGCTGCCGCGCGGGGCGCCGGGCGCCGGGGAGCTCGCCGTCGCGGGCCTCGACCTGAACCACGGCGACATCGCGGGGTACCTCCCGCCGGAGCTCGGCCTCCTCGCCGACCTCTCGCTGCTCCACCTCAACTCCAACCGCTTCTGCGGCCTCGTCCCGGCCACGCTCCGCCGCCTCCGCCTCCTCGTCGAGCTCGACCTCAGCAACAACCGCCTCGTCGGCGCCTTCCCGGCCGTCGTGCTCGACCTCCCGGCGCTCAAGTTCCTCGACCTCCGCTTCAACGACTTCGAGGGCGCCATCCCGCCGGCGCTCTTCGACCGCCCGCTCGACGCCATCTTCCTCAACCACAACCGCCTCCGGTCCCCGCTGCCCGACAACTTCGGCAACTCGCCGGCGTCCGTCATCGTGCTCGCCGACAACAGCTTCGGCGGGTGCCTCCCGGCCAGCCTCGGCAACATGTCCGGCACGCTCAACGAGATCCTCCTCATCAACAACGGCCTCGACTCCTGCGTCCCGCCGGAGGTCGGCCTGCTCCGGGAGGTGACCGTCTTCGACGTGAGCTTCAACGCGCTCGTCGGCCCGCTGCCGCAGCAGGTGGCCGGGATGCGCAAGGTGGAGCAGCTGGACGTCGCGCACAACCGCCTGTCGGGCGCCGTCCCGGAGGCCATCTGCGCGCTCTCGCGGCTCAAGAACCTCACCATCTCCTACAACTTCTTCACCGGCGAGCCGCCGTCCTGCGCGCGCGTCGTGCCTTCGGATGGAGACAGGAGGAACTGCCTGCCCAGCCGCCCCGCGCAGCGCACGCCGCAGCAGTGCGCCGCGTTCTATTCGCAGCCGCCCGTCGACTGCGCCGCGTTCCAGTGCAAGCCGTTCGTCCCTGTTCCGCCGCCGCCGCCGCCACCATCATATCCCGGCCCGTTGCCGCCAGTATACCCCATGCCATACGCGTCGCCGCCGCCACCTGCGCATTACCGATGATCTGATTCGTTGAAGGGGGAGAATCACTATCTCTTTCATTCACCTTGATTCGCCACCGCCGCTGCGCTGGATGGAGACAGCAAAGTTCACCGTGTCACAATTGTACGTGGTCAGTCAGTCATTGTTGTGCTTAGTTTAGCAGTGTTCTTGATTGATAGCTACCGGCATATAGATTATTATTATTATTATTATAAGGTGCATAAATCGCTCTTGAATTGCTTTTGCATTGGTCGGTTGCATTTTTCGGTCTCGGGTTTTCGCGTCGATCGGGGTTTTGCGTCATGGCGATGGTGAAAAAGATTGGAGGTACGAGGGGAACAGTTTGTGCTTGGATTGATTGCTAATTGGGTTGTGAATAACGATAAACTGCTTGAGAGAGACAGGTTATTACGAGGATGAGGAGGATTGGTTGGTGACGGATGGGCGGGCACCTAGGACCACGGAAAATATCCGGATGTATAGAGGGAATTGAGCTTGAGTTCTTCAGTTAAGCTGCTGCTTTCAGATGTGAGTCCAGAGATAAGTTTTCAGACCAAGGAATGTACCCTACTTAACTATTCTTTTTTTTTTCTGTAACAGCTACTTACTGCTAATCGATTGTTATGATATATCTGTTTCGGATTCTTCAAAGGTTTTGGCCCTTTGATTGCTACTCTGTTGTTTGTTCTCTGTTTTTGATGCGATGACGGTAATACACGGGTTGGTCATTCTTTGCATGTGGATTCTGTTTTCGTTATTTATCTTATTGGTTGCAACTAGAATTTTCCCATTGCACCATGGAATTAGATGCTTCACATGATGTGTTGAGCTTGAGCATGCATGATGAAACACCAGTGGCCCAGATTTTGCAAAGCTTGTTGGAAAAAGGAGAGACATGGGACATGGCCACTGGCCAGGCGCTTCTTGCTCCTCCTAGCTTTGCCGTTCCTTTTTTGTTATAGGATGACTAATCTATACCCATGATGAACAAACAATAGGACCATTGCAATGAAGTACATGCTTCATCTCACTCAAATTTCATTGCAATGGGCAGCACTGTTGGGCAAGTTTGCACTGTTTACAAGAAGTTTTTATCCTCGTTTGCACAATAATAGCAATACCTCATTGGGATGGGCGCATTGTGCACCCAACCGAAAATTGCTAACATGATTAGGTGTAATAATCAATCAGGCCAACTTGTGGTGGTAGTTATTGATGAGCCATTTTTTTGTGCCTTTTTCCCCAACTTGTGGTGGTAGTTATTGATGGTAAGATCCTTAATCTCTGCCCTTTTGAGGCACAGCCAACATGATTAGGTGTAATAATCAATCAGGCCAACCTTTGAATTCATTCGAGTGGTGGGGGAAAAAAATTGAGGTGGAGAAATGATGCACGAACTGCTTGATCCCGTTTCCTTTGGCCCTAAGATGAAATCATGACCATCTTGCTCATGCAGCAGCTTTTACGGCGGCTATATATTACGATTAGAAATCACGCCCCCTCACTCGTTAGCATTTTGGTTGTACAAGAGTGCATTTTGGCAGCGTCCATGCCATGCCCAGTGCTCCCGTTGCTCAACGTGGGTGATGGGGAAGGGTTTAAAAAGAATCGCAAAAATGGTTGATGGAAATGTGAGCAACACCATCGGGATTTGGGTGCGGACGTGCGGCGCAGGTGGTCGGTCGGTTTGCAGGAAAAGACTTTGCTGATCATATCCTGCCATGGAGGTTGCATGTTTGTTGGCCGTGGTAGGTAGTCTGCGCCAGGTTCCAATGTTCATTGGGATGGGGATGGGAGGAATGGGATTATGGGAAGCAGAGCATGTGCACCCCCACCACCAGAGTCGTTGTGTATCGTATCGTATTCCTACGGTCTGCGTGTTTCACGGGCTTCACTAATCCCGAAAAGGAATCAGCGCCGTAATCATATGCGTTTTGCCGTGCTTTTGCTCGCTCCGGTAGACTCTAGTAGGGAAAGAGAGAAGCTTTGAATGAATGAATTCGTGGATAGACTTTTGATCAGCTCGGTTCTCGGCACGTTAAGACCGACTGCACTGAAGGCGAACTGTTATGCCCCAGGTTTTTTTCCACCTCCGCTGTATGTTTTCAGACGTAGCTTCACGAACTCTGCTCTAAGAAAAAATTGAAATTGTGAGAGCACCTGAACAAGTGTTTCAGAAACCTTTTTTAAGCTGCTGTTCGATGAAGTTTCAGCCAAACAGATGTAGCTTCAGACTCTGCTCTAAGAAAAAAAGTAAAATTGTGAGAGTATTTAAAGAGATGTTTCAGTAACTTTTTTTTTTTATAAAGCTGTTGTTTACACCAAAATTTGGAGAAAAAAATGCGGGAACTCGAAGACTTCTAAAATTGCACCAATCAAGGACTCGATTGCATGAGGATCGATGTCAGCTGCTTTAGATACAATTCTGGAATCGAATCTCTTTGGATGACATCGACAGATAGCGATGATGAGCTATGGTTGGCACCAGCAAATTACGTATTGGACTCTACAAAAGGGAAAGTTTGGGTCCAAGTTATCTTAAGATAGGAATGTTTTCTTCGCACCAAAGATTATACCGAGTCGTACTCGAGTATGATTCGTTTTTAGGCTCCGGGTATAAATATCAAACCACGGCTATTGTAAAAGGACCACAATCAATCAAATACAAGTTAGCTACTTTTTCGGCTCCAGCCACCCCTTAGAAATAGAAGTAGAGTAGATTAAGGGTGGCATTCCTTCGGATAGATTCATTAAGTTACCAATATTAATTATTGCTTCTATTATTTATTTAATTACAGCAATATCACTTCACCCGATTGGGATTGATCTAGATCGGCCTTATATCTTGTTTAACCCATCGTTTGTTAATCTAAATTTGATCTAATCTGCACTTTAAACGATGAGTTATATTTTATCGGCTGTTTTATATCAATCTTGATCGTGCATAGCGTGTGGTTAAGGCGTGTCTGATCTTGAGTAGATCTATTGGCTAGCGAAACCGTTTCATGGCCTGTTATCATGGCCTGTGTGATTCTACCTCACACCCCACTGTTAGCACCGTGGAGTGGGGATCATTATTTGGCAGATCCGTTCCTGAGAGGGCATGACCTTAACTGTGCGCTATGCCTGAATCGACTATTTTAGCCGATATCAAGTGCTTTCACGAACAGTTCATGTCACGAAACCGTTGAAGTAGAGATAGGTTGAAAGATGTGTTAGTCCAATGATCTTATTATTGTATTACGGTCTACATGATTCTGCCTCATGCCCCACTGATATTAGTAATAAGTTAGGGCCGTCGAGTCTATTGTTGTTTCTATGGCCTGCATGATTCTGCCTCATGCCCCACTGGTCATAGCGATAGATGAGATCTAGTTCACTAGATTTATCTCTATTAAATGGTTGAATGATGATGAACTGTTTCTTTCATAAAGGGATTCGGTTACTTGCAGTCATTGGCTCAGTAGAAATTAATTATTGTTAATATATTATTGTCATTGACCAATATTTGTCTAAAGAATGATATTTATCCTGAACGATAACCGATTCTTCTTACACAACTCCATGAGCTTTAACCGATTTATTCTAATGAATATGTTGGAATCGACTATTTAGTCGATCTCCTTTTATATCGGCTCTCAGAGCCGCACATTCGGGACTGTCTGGCAACACCGGCATGTTCCGCCTTAAATTAATGATAAACTTTCTTTCCTTGTCAATTGCAGGGTCAAATTGACTAGCACGTCTCTGGAGGAGTGCGCATGATCGACCACCCCTGTGCTGAAGCTAGGTGGATCTCCAGCTCAATCGAGCGAACCCTTCCGGCTTGCTCGTGTGCCCTCGGCATGGGACGAAAATTCCATGTCGACACACGTTTCTGGCACGCCCGGTGGGACCCCACAATCGTCATGGCGGTTCACAACAACAATGACATCCTTATGGTACATTATGAAGATCTACCTGATGGAGATAAAGATGTCATCGACAAAGCTACAGAAGAATTTCAGAGCAAATGTTTGTTGTCTTACACCAAAACACGTGACAACATAATTGTTCAAAAATTTCCACTACCGAGAGTTCTATTACACGGGCAGACAGATACAGTTAAAGCTGAAGACAGACGTTTCTTTACGGAAGTTATTGACAAATCTGTTCGTGATGCCATATCAAGCCGTAATGAAGCTTTCTTAGACACATTTCACAACGCCATAAAAGAGACGATTCATGGATTTTTAGTTGGTCAAGGTGGGTCGACTTATTACAACATTCCAGATTCGTCGACCCAAGGGACTAATCAAGTTGGTACCAGCCGTCAAGAAGCAGCACCAGCTGGTAATGGTGATGTCCAGACAGTTCAGGGTTCATTTGAACAAGCTCAAGGTACTACTACAAATCAGATACAGTATAATCCTAGACCGTCAGTACAGCATGTGCAATGGCCGGTGGGGCAAGGTCAGAACCAGGTGATCAATTTTGGCACATCAGGCCACATACCATTGTCGGCTCAAAAAATAGCACCCTCAATTCAAATGATCCGTAGAGATATAGATCCTCATGTCTACAATCGGAGACTTCAAGCAACAAGCCAACAAAGGACCCAGTAGATAGAGATTCCATAGGGGTATCATTATGGAACAGATTATAACACTCTTCACATGATTCTGAATCCAGGGTACTAAGGCACACGGGATTTTAATCCACAGATGGGTCAGCAGGTGCAGAGAAATCCAAATTTAAATACTGATGAGTTGCTGCTAAAGGTGACCGAGATGATGAAGAATCAGTTCGGTCTGAAGCCAAAAGGGCTAACCTTTTTGTACAAACACACATACCTAGAATGGTATGATTTGGTCGCTCTTTCTACAAATTACAGGCTTCCAGAGTTTGCTAAGTTTACTGGTCAAGACAGTATAAGCACAATAGAACATGTCAGTCGGTATCTTACACAATTGGGCGATGCATCAGTTGAGGAGGCACATTGAGTTCGTTTCTTCTCCTTGTCCCTGTCAGGGCTAGCCTTC